CATAGTTCAAGTGGTTAGTCGCTGGCTTCCCATCGCGGCGGCCCGGGTTCTATCCCGGGTCTGGTCAAGTGGGATTTGTTGTGGACAAAGTGGCGCTGGGGCAGGTTTTCTCCGAGTACTTCGGTTTCCCCTGCCAATCCTCATTCCACCAATTGCTCCACAATCACCCTCACCTATCATCTGGGACTGGTACAATAGGCCAGAAGTGGCCGCAATACAAGGGACTTAGTCCCACCCCACTTACTTACTTACTCATGGAGCTGAACGCTTCTGGAGGAGCCGCCAATTCTCCAGCTACTCAAGAATTTCCCAGCATTTCATGAAGCCCGAAGGTTCATTACCGTGTTCACAAGAGTCCTCCACTGATCCCTATTCTGAACCAGATCTATCCAATCTATACCCTCCCATTCTATATCTCCAAGATCCATTCTAAAATTGTCCACCCACCTATGCCTTGGTCTTCCCTGTGGTCTCTTTCCTTCTGGCTTCCCACCAATATCCTTTACGCATTCCAGTCCCACCCCATCTAGCAATAAGAAAAATAATATTTCTCCGATGGAAAATATATAGAAACTTAAACAATTTTACATGCCCTTGTGCACAAATTTTAATATTATACTCAGGGTCTGTAATCGTGTCGTTTCTTGTATTTTAATATCATAATAAGGTTTTAATTTTAATATTGTAAATAAAGGAATTTAGATGTGATATTAAGCCTAGTAATTAGATGTGTGGACTTACTTGTACTGTACTGCATAATGACGGGAAGACGACGCTACGATCTTTGGAAAACCCTCTGCTCTTTAACCGAACCGTGAATCAAAAGTATGACGAGCATTTTGTCTCACTCACGTGTGAGCTCTCACGTCCTTATCTCAGCATATCACCATTATATCGCGTAAGATGAGAGGGTTAGCTGAAACTTTACTGCCAGTGCTTCTAAACCTGGCCCAGTGCGTGCCGCGTAATGTCGCACACTGAATACTTTACATCGAGGATTTAGGCTAATCACGCTTCTGGTAAACCCAAATAACGAGATATATTCGAGCCCTGAGAACCTACAGGCTGGCGGGAATTCAAGGGTATGTAAGTACATGGAATTATATGCAGGGTACACTTAATTTTTTTTTAAATAATTACGAACGGATGAACTGAACAATCAATCAACCAACCGACGAATTTCATGGTACAAAACCTTCCTTAATAGTCTGTTGTTAATCAAACAGACTAGAGAGTTCTCAGTTTTGTAACTCAGACAGTTCATCGCAGATCTTACAAAAATCCATTATTCGATCTTATCTTGGGCCCATAACTTCACTTAATTTTTGTCTAAGGTCCATTTTAATATCATCCTCTTATTTCATATCTTAGAAATAGTGTCATACGTTTAGTTTTCTGGACGAAAACGTTGTACTTACGTGTTATGTCAATTTCTTCGGGATATAATAACCAGAAAGGTATAAGATGAATAGTCAGGATTATGAAGCCCCTCGTCACGTAATTTTCTTTAATCTTCCTCTTACTTTATCTTTGTTAGGTCCAAATGCCATCCTCAGCATTTTATCAAATATTCTAAATCCATATTTTACGCGTAGTGTGAGGAAACGACATTTCTCCTCTCCTTTCCTCTCGCTTCCTGTAGCTTGCACGCACGCACGAACATACACATACACAATATACACGCGCGAAGAACAACATAAGAAAAAATATTTTGGTACTTTAGACCTTTACATAAGCTACAGCGAAATAAACGCTTTTGAACGGAACATTAGAAAGCACTTCCCGAATTCTGAGGTAGTCTCAAAGAATATGAAATACAGCAAACTTATTCTTCTCTTCAGTGCAGATGAGAGTGTGCTTGTAACTGAACGAACTTAGAAAATGGTAAGCATTAAAATTCTGCGTATCATTCTAACTAACATGATTATTTTGCTATTTGTTTTCGTTCTCCCTGGAAAACATGTCGTGCAGTTTTAAATTTGAAATATCAACATTCCGTCCTGTCCTTTCCATAGAAGTAAAGTTGGGCACACAGAAAATAACACCCTACTGCTGGGTCAGTAAAAGGTAAAAAAAAGGTAAAACTATCCCTGTGCTTAACTAATTGAGCACTATGCATGAAGGTGTATGGGGGAGTGGATGTATAGATCCACATTTTCTTGACCTCGGCAATATTTGGAGGTGAATGACCTTCATGCCCCGGCCGCTTTATCCCTGAGGAAATATCCCCCGGTACCCAATGGATAGGAGGGTGGGTGGACACCAGAGCCGGTCTGGACGACATGGAGAAGTGACAATTCTTGACTCTACCGGGACTCAAACTCCGACCCCTCGGTCGTCCAACCCGTAGTCAGTGGCTATACCGACTGCGCTATCCCTGCTCCACAGATGGGTCAGTACGGAATACAAACCCGTGGCAACCCGCCCTGTCTTCTTCAGAACGTCCGAAAGGACGCTTCGGAAAAGACAAATTTTCACAGTTGAAATATTGCATAAGAGATTTCAATTCCTCTTCATATTATGGCTGTTTGAGTAATGACAGCAAACATTCTAGAAGGTGTCATAACCAGAAATATGATTTTTTACCCTCATGGAAAAGACAAGAAATTTATTTTTGGTTTATTAACGACACTTCAACCCACAGTACCATACAGGGTGATTAGTGAATAATGAACTGGTAAGGATGTGAAAGGAAGTGGTGGTGCCTAATTTAAGGAATCATTCCGGGACATGCCTAGAAGGGCTGAGGAATACCACGCAAATCCTCAGCAAGATAGTCAATGTGCAGGCCGTTATTTCAAATACAGATCTCCCGAATATGAAACAAGAGGGAGGGAAAGTCGAATGCGATGTTCAGACTAAAAGAAAAAGTTGAATTATAAATTTACTTTCAATATTCAATCTTGTATCAAGATGTCTGTATCTCTCATCCCAATGCTTACCAATTAGGGCTACTCGTAAAATGTTAAATATTGTGAAGTTGTTTATCGAAGCGTACACTAAAAACGTATAGACATCACGTAGTCACGTTCATATTTTAACCATGGCAAACTATTTCCAGATATTTGTTACGCACTTCAATCGCAGAAATTCAGACATCTAGAGGCATGTCTTTACAACATAAATTCACATTAAATTATCAAGAATGAACGGTTGGCCATAACACTTGAACGTCTCATGGAGACCAAAATGATAAGACCTTCTCGGGCAATCAGTTACGTCAAACTGAGCCATAAATCATCCCTGATGATGGAACTAAAGATTGTGGCTGATATCCCGAGAAGACATTAATTAATTGATTAATTTTCATACGATTTCCTTAGTATATTCCAGTCTATATCAAAATCTTAAAAATGAGGTGCCTAACCAGATAATCGACAAGTTATATATAGCAGATCATTCTTGAGAACCTGAACAAGTCAATAAATGCCTTCATGAAACCGGAAAGTTCATTACCGTATTCAAAAGAGCCCGCCACCTTCCCTATCCTGATATTGATGACTCCAGTCCACATCTTCATGTCCTGTTTCAATAAGGTTCATTTTACTAATATATTTCCATGTACACCCTGCTTTTTCATGTTGTTTCCCGACTAAAACTGTATATAAATTTCTGAAATGAGGCATTCCTACTTAATTTCCAAAACACAGACTTTATTCGTCGACTTTCCTACCTTCTCTTGGACAAGGGCTTCGCGAGAATCACTGACAACGGTGGAATTCAAGATCTATAGGTTTGTATCACCTCCACAATTCATCTTCCAGGTGATCTTCAACCAAATTCAAAAGCTCTGTTTATATACTTTCACCTCTCTGGTGAATATTCGTATGTTCCTAGCGAGCAATATGAAGATGAATTTGAGCTGAAAATATTTGTTTCCTTTATTATTTCCATTCTCCAAATGTTACCTTATCCGAAACTTCCGGTAAAGTGGAAAAATTGAGTGAACTGTAGTCAGAAATTGAAAAAGAACATTACGTATTTGTGTCTCGGTTTCTTAGCTTATTTCACAAAGCAATTTCAAACGTAGTAGCAATATAGCATAAAATTTGATGCGAAGATGATCATGATCAGTGAATAGGAAAAATTCTGGAGTAAATATTTTTTTTTAATTCGCTTAGTGGGGGGTGGAGTCAAACTGGGTCCACTCGGCACGGCGGCCACTGATTGGCCTATTGTAGCCTGCCCCGGGTGATTATGATGATGGAGAATTTTATGGAATGAAGATTGACAGGAGAAACCGAAGCACTAGGAGAACCCCACCCCCCAGCGCCACTTTGTTCACCATAAATCCCACTTGACCAGACCCGGGATCGAACTCTGGCCGCCGCGGTGGGAAACCAGCGACTAACCGCTTGAGCTAAGGCGCGGCCATATTTCTACCTTATTTCACGACACTATCCTCACAATCGTCTAAGAAGGATAAGAAATATCATGAAAGCAGTAACGAAAGTGTGTAAAACGGCCAAGAGTCGAACTGGGTGCCTTCCGTGTGAATAAAGTTCTGTAGTACATAGACTTCATCTGATACAACATAGATTAAACCTCTGTAATAATATCTCACACAAACTCCCTCTACATATTTCGGTGCAATTGCGCCGTCTTCTGTATAATCTGGACAATATCAAAATGGATCTTAGATAGGATTAGGTGGTGTTGACTGGATCGATCTGGCTCAGGATAGAGACCAGCGGAGGGCTCTTGTGAACGCGGTAACGAATCTTCGGATGTCATAAAACGCTGGGAAGTTCTTGAGTAGCTGCAAAATTGGTGGCTTCTCAAGAAGGGCTCAGCTCCACGAAGTTAGTTTATAAAAGTATAATTGGGTACAGAAGCTATTAAACATGATACGTTGCTCAAATATACTGGAATGACAATACAGTAAGAGATTGGTACCGTAAGAGACAGAAATGAAATCCACATAAGATATTTCACTTCATTTGAAAATGTCGGAGTTAAATCGAACCAGATGCGCTTCAACGATTTATTTTGTCTTTCAGTTCCGGTACTGCAACTGTAGAAGGAAGTTGTATCAAGAGGAAAAAATCGGCACCAAGAACTCCCGGTTGATTGGAAGAGTGTCTTTCTCTGAATGAACTTTCGCAATCACTTATCTGGGGTAAGTTTAACTACGAACTCGACTACAATGCTAGCTGCATAAGAATTAAAACTAGTTTCATATGCACCACAACGAGGGAGAGTAAGTACATAGATCAGAAATGGATATAAAAAGTAAAACATGTGATACTGGAAACTGGAGAAAATTATTTCTCGATATACTCTCCATCAACACTGATACACTTGCCCCATCGCTTTATCAGTGCTTCGAAGCCCGCAGCATAGAAGACTTTTGACTGTTGTCTCAGACACTTCCGTACACCTGGTCGGGCAACATCTGCGATCTGTGAACGTCCTTGAGAGAATTTCTTGACCCAGTTATGAACCGCTTTACGCGAGAAACACTTTCCACTAAACAGGAAGCATTTCTTTATGAACATCATTTGTATTGATTCCTTTTGGCCACAAGAAAAGCAAAAAAGAACGTTGCTCTTCCGTAGTATATCCCTCAAGTACGAACGCCATTTTTACCACCGAAACCAGCCTCTGAACATGCGCATGTGCGTCTCCTACCTAGATTGTCATGAAGCTGGGATGCGCTGCTACTGCTACACATAGAGAACCTATTACGTTCATTACAGCTGTTTACTCTTTACTAACTATTCCTTGTAGATTATTTCAAGAGCAGTCAGTCTGTACGTAACTTTGCTTACAAATTAATTTATTTCATCTACTGAATTATTATGACTGGCTTCTTAGCTGTCCTTCCAACGAACTATAATTATGAATACCAACGTATACACATAAAACAAAAAGTATATCTTGAGCCAGAGGCCTATTTCACTCATTTTTCTCAAACAGGATGTAATTCTAAAGCCTCTGTGTGTTATGCAAACTGATACTTACGGTGCAAGCTGCCTTGTTACTGAATTTACGTTAAACACCACTGTTTTATTTGAAAACCTGCAACATAAATCTGATTGCTGCATTGTAAGAAAATTTCTTTTATAATTCTCTATCTTGCTAGTGAATGTTTATAATTCAGTCTTGCAAAAACTTCTTAAGAATTGTAATCTGTGAAGACTGCTACTTCTTTGGCCAGTATATTTGCCTTCACAAAAGACATTTATTAGAGAATAACGTGTTAAGTTTCTACTGAATTGGTAATGAATTTGAAATGATATTTTCAATATTTAAGAAAATTTTACGTTAAAGTTTTTATTTCATTAACAATTTGACGTGTTTTTTCTCAACAGAATTACGACAGCTTCAAGATTCTGTTGGGCATCAGCTTTCTCTTGACAGTCTGCAGCAATGTGTACCTGTGCCCTACGAATTGTAGTTGCTATGGGACTTCAAGTATCGGTGTCACTTGCAACTGCTCTTGGGCAACATTGCAAAGAATCCCACAGGAAGGTGTTGACTTCAACACTACTAAGCTCATAGCTTCACACAACAAGCTGACTAGCCTGAAGAACATCAGCTTTAGTGCCTTCCATCCGCAGCCTCTGGCGGTTATCACTTTAGACTACAATGCCATTTCTGAAGTAGATTCAAACACGTTTAACAGTCTAGTTTTTTTAAAAAAACTTTGTATGTCACATAATATGATAGTCGGTCTTCATCCGGCCACTTTTGCAGACGCGATACTGCTGGAGCAAATAGAAATAAGTGATAATAATTTAATATATGTGCATCCGGAACTGTTGATCAAAAACCTATACCTCCAGCTATTTGATGCCGGCAATAACAGAATCAGAATTCTCCCATCAGGTTTATTCAAATACAATAGTAACCTAATGGGAGTTTATGTTAATGGTAATGAACTTAGATTCCTCAGTAGCCAACAGTTTCAGCACAACCCCAAACTCAGAATTGTGCGTTTAGAAAACAATAAAATCATGTATCTTCAAATAGATATGTTCACATATAGTAGATATCCTTTGTATGTAAACCTGAATAATAATGAAATACATCAGATTCGAGACAACGTATTTCAAAACGAATGCGACGTAAAAATCGTGGATATAAACAAAAATAATATAGAGAATTTCTCTGTATGCCAGTTACTTTGCTTGAAGGGAGTGCTGAGTATTGATATTTCTGGTAACCCACTGGTTTGTGGCAGTCACGAGGAGCAAGCAGTGAAATTGTGTCATAATTACAGTGTCCATAATGAAGGTGACTGCAACTTAGGAACTCCACTCAATTCAGATACGGTATTTACAGGGAGGACATTATACATGAAAACAATGTATGAAAACAGTAGTAGCTTCCCACATTCATTTACTACAGTAACAAGTAACTACAGCGCTACTTCAGTAGATTTTCCGACTGCTGAAGATACGGCAGCTCTTTCTCAAGAAATAAAACAAAATGTTTTAACTAACAACATTTCTGTTGTCTCAGGCAATGAAAATGTGACCATGGTATTTGGATCTACATCGCGGCTGGAATACACTGAGCAAAATCGAACTACTACAGAGGTCACTGTTGTCGAGTATAACTCTCCTATCGTATTACGAGAATCAACTGTGCGCGGAATTCTTTTCATTGCGCTGGAGTGCCTATTAGCTATTGTCATCTTTTTACGAAAGTTACTGTGCCAGAGAGATGTAAATGATTCTGCTGTAGTTGATACAATCGAACTTCTGTCTGAATCTGGACCCAACCCTGAAGTCAACAGTGAAACAGAAAGTAGTGCTGTCTGAAATAAACTGTGGGAAGATGATGGTGAAATCTGGAAGCAGTAATAATATTGAAAATACTGAAATTTTAAGGCGATAATGATGCAGAAATTGACGAAGTACATGGGAATAAATGAGACAGAAGATGGTGAAGTCTGAAGCCAGCAATGGTAAGGAAGTTAGCAATACTCGGTCAGTAATGGAATAGAAGATGGTCAAGTCTGAAGGAATAAATGAGACAGAAGATGGTGAAGTCTGAAGCCAGCAATGGTAAGGAAGTTAGCAATACTCGGTCAGTAATGGAATAGAAGATGGTCAAGTCTGAAGGAATAAATGAGACAGAAGATGGTGAAGTCTGAAGCCAGCAATGGTAAGGAAGTTAGCAATACTCGGTCAGTAATGGAATAGAAGATGGTCAAGTCTGAAGGAATAAATGAGACAGAAGATGGTGAAGTCGAAGGCAGCAATGGTAAGGAAGTTAGCAATACGCGGTCAGTAATGGAACAGAAGCTGATCAAGTTTGAAGGAAGAAATGAGACAGAAGATGGCGAAGTCTGAAGGCAGTAGAGAAATGGAAGCTGGTTAATATGATGGCTATAATGAAGCAAACGGTGATGAGTCTGAAGGGAGTAGTCATATAGAATGCAGTGAAGTTTGAATAAAGAAATTATGTAGAAGTTGATGGAGAAATAGACTTTATATTATAAACAAGTGGCGATCAATTTGCAAGTTTCTGTATAACTCTCAGAAATATACGGTGATTTTAGTTCATTACAGTAAAATAGAAGTTATTGGTCAAAGTAACTATATAGCCCACGTAGCCATTAACCTTGAGGTAGGTCTGTGTTCAATGTGAAGCTAATACTTAGCAGTCGTGGTTCAGAGAATTCCCACAATAATTTACAGAAAATCGATGTAAAACCAGTTCATTTTCCGAGGTTTGTAGTTACAGAAGGTTTTATAACTCCTTCATATGAAGTAAAATATAGGAGGAACTAGTGATTGACGGTCATTCAAACACACAATTGTGGGAGTTGAATTCAAATTTGAAAGGAAGACCTAATACAATCTGTGATTATGACAAGTAAATTTTATTGAAGTTATTTGTGATTTTATTAGATCATTTCTAAGCTCCTGATGAAAAAATGCACCAAAATATGGGAAAACATGCAAAGTAGTTGCCTTTCGGCAATTTCATAAAATACGCAAAGAAAACTGGGCGTGGTTCCTGCTGGAGTCACGTGATGGGTAAGCACATTAAATAACCACAAAATACAGGAGTGATGATAGTAAGTGGGAAAGCTGAAGGTGATGAACATAAATGGAAAGAGCCCAAGGGGGCAATGTTTGCTGTTTCATGCAACGAGTGGCCTGCAGGGGTCTACGTTTGCTACAATATACAGACGTGTAGTGAAAACATTATCACACTACATATAGTAATTTTTGATAGTGAATACAATGTTTTTGTATTTCGTTGCATATTGCCATAGCGGAGACGGTTAGGCTCTGGCTTCTCAGTGTGAAGTCTCGAATTCAGTCCCGGGAGGCTTCATGTTAGATTCTTGGTGAATGTTTTTCTTCTGAATTTCTTGTAATTTATCTTCATAATCTTCATTCCACTATCACTCCTTACTCATCAGTAACAGCATAGCGGACCTACGGTCTTCTTACCGAGCAACACATAATCGAAACTGCGATATTTCTGAAGAAGGTCGTCTTTTGGGTTTTGGCGCCATGTATTCTTCGTTTTGGCCGACGTTTCGACGTTTCTGTTTGGGACCTCATCCGGCACTTGGTTTAGTACAGGGTAACGAAATTCATTAATCGCATCGGAAAATATACGGACAACAAGTTCTGGGAATAACTAATCGCCTACTTTGCTTGATAAGACACGGACCGCATAGAAGATGACGTGTCCAATAATTCTATTTTTGCATGTGTATTAACTACCGCAGGAACGTTCTTATCTAGCCGTTGCTTAGCAACAATAAGGGGCTACACGTACAGACTGATGGGAGGGATTTATGAAGTATGTCATTGAGATGGGCTTAGGTGCCGTGATACACATACCAAAGTTTCACAAAGACTGGTTCAGCCATTCAAAAGTTCATTGGTGGGGGGGTGGAGCATAAACGTACTTTTATTTTTTCAAAACATGGACAGTAAGGCAATAAAAATTCCAAATATTGATGAAGTCTCTATTTAACTTGTTTGTCATAATAATTTCTTGCTCCATATGTCTTCTTTGAGAGAATTTACAAAATTAAATTTGGGTTCTATGAGCCAGCGATGGAAGGAGTATATTTGCACCTATATAGAAGCAGGTAAGTAAAACGGACTAGCAGATATCAAGACATAGGACAGTTATCAATGTCATATAAAATATTATATGACTATCTTTCAGGGTTAACTCCCTATGTAGACGAAATTGGTGGGAAATTTCAGGATGGATTTCGAAGTAATGGACCAATTACTGTTAAAATTGTTCATATTCGTCAGATATGGAAGCAAATGGGAGTACAATTGGACAATAATTCTATTAGTTATATATTTCAAAATTGCCTATGAATCAGTTAGGAGGGGATATTCCCATTTGGTTTTGTTACCGCCCCCCCCCATATCTTTCTTTGTACTTATGTGTCGGCTGAGGGGATATTCCCATTCGGTTTTGTTACCGCCCCCCCATATCTTTCTTTGTACTTATGTGTCGGCTTCGGTAGACCACTTGACTCTTATCAGGTTCGTGTTACGGCAATAACTGAGGCAAACGGAAACTGCACACTTGAAGTCAGGCCACTGCCCGAAATCAACAACATAACTTCCACTGTCCACAAACTGTTTATTTATTCATAAGCGAAATATATAACTTATTTGCAAGCACGGAGTAATATAGCCGTTTAATATTATCAAACTTTAACGATCCAAAGTGAAGGGCTGATGAATTTGGAGAAACAAGAGGAGTGCAGTCCAATGACGTCTGCCTCAGATCAATTAAAAATTCCCCGTTTTCGAAGACTGGTATCCTGCGGGAGGGTCGCTTCATCCCAGAGAAGGGGTTGAATCGACGGTCTTTCTCCCAGACAAAAACTCATTTTCTATTGGCTGATTTTAACTAGCCAAATTCATCATGCACTCAGCACAAGCCAATCACATAACAAACTTCGAGAATAAAACAGTCCCCAACATACAGAATTCGGAACCCCACATGTGAGAGCGGTTATTTTCTTTAGTTTAGGGTCCAGCTACACCCTCTCGAAGACATTTCATGACAGCTACACATGTCAACAAAACAAAATTCATATCTTCGGAAAACTACAAACTTGTCTCCCGTGGTGACCTTGTCTCATTCCGGTCATCCCAACTGCATGTAAACAAAAACAAGACAGTTATTTTCTGTCCAGATGCAAAAAACAAGTCATAACATGTTAATAAAACTGTCTCGCCAATAAACCAGTTATGCATTAATTTCAGAGACTTCTTGCAGTCAAGACATAACAGTGCAAAGAAAAGCCGACATTCAAAGCAGCGACGAAGGGCACAATGCAACTACCAGCATTGTGGTTGGAGACGTTTTCCTTGCCACAGGTCATTAACACGTCTCTAAGAGAGCAAATTGAACTGTTAATTACACAGCTAGGCCACTCGAGAGGATCAAAACCTTACATGAAGGTCATCATAATTGTATTAAGTTTCATGAAGGTCATTTTTTTTCCTTAGCACTACAGCCCCAGTGGGCCTAGACCTTCCTCCATGAACTTCTCCGTTCACTTCGGTTTTTTCTAGATCTTACACATTCGGTAGGACTCCTTGGGCGGTGGTCAGCTCGTCGCAAGGCCTCTACCTGTACAAAAACACAGAAAAACACACACACACAAACTAAACATCCATGATCTGAGCGGGATTCGAATCCACGATCCCGGTTTCCAAGCGAGCGAAGACAGTACATGACTTATGTCGCTCGGCTACCGTGACTGGCTTATGAAGGTCGTTAGGCCATAGAACTGCAATATTCCCTTTGTCTCGTGTCGATGTGAAAATTTGACAGTCTAATTCGGAAGGCAGTAAGGATAGATTACAGACGTTTTAAAACAAAAGGAGGGGAAGAGGTTTGGATCTGTGTCAGTGGAAGTAACAGGCGAATGGAAGAATTTCCGAAGTGAACGGAGAAGTTCATGGAGGAAGGTCTAGGCCCACTGGGGCTGTAGTGCTAAGGAAAAAAAATGACCTTCATAAAACTTAATACAATTATGATGACCTTCATGTAGGGCTCTTTGGGGGTGGGGAGAAACATGTCGCAAGGCTCGTACCTACACACAGAATAAACGCACACAGATATCCATGCTTCCAGTGGGATTCGAATTCACGATCCCAGTGTTCGAGAGGCCGAAGGCGGTTCATGTCTCAGACCTCGCGGCCATTGTGATAGGCCTTTCAGTATATAACAGTATTGACCGGTAAACTACGATGATATCTGTAACTACTTCACAGTCACTTCCTTCAAAATGACACCTGATTCACCACGTGCAGTAGAATCCTCTTGTTCTTCGATGCGATATGAATTCTGCTTCTGGCAAACACAGCTGCAGAATATACAGGTAAACTGACATTTAATGTTAAGGTAAAGATAAGGTAAAGTTGTCCCCGTGTTTAACTATAATTGAGCATTACGGGAAGTGGATGTATAGACCCATATTTTCTTGACCTCGGAACTAGTTGGATGTGAGTGGCTAGCTTCACGCCCTTGCCACTTTACACTCGGAGAAAGGGTCCCCGGTACCCATCGGATAGGAGGTTGGGTGGGACCCAGGTGGAGAAGAGAAAATTCTTGACTCTACCGGAGCTCGAACTCTGAACCCTCGGTCGTCCAGCCCGTAGCCAGTCGCGGCTACGCTATCTCGACACATTATGATACCTAAATTTAATTTAAAAATCAGTGCACAACTGACATGAACGACCTGGCTGGTTCATTCCTGCGGAAAGGAATTTAAATATGTTTATAAGCAAATGTGTGACTCACTGTGACCTTGTGTGTGATTGCTGCTTTATGGATGTGTCTTCCGCATTTGGTGCAGCGATTTTGCACACCTTGTATGTCTTCTCGGTCAGTGTAGGTGGCAGAGGAAGGGGGAAAGGCGCAAGCGATCAACTGGTTTGTTTCAGCGCGAGAAATCATATAAACACATTGTTAAGTAACGTAACAATGAACTGACCGACCGACTGACTTACTGAACACATGGTGTGGAGTTGCTCTCACCGTGCTCACGTACTTAACTTTTCCACTGCAGAGGTTGTACTGTATTTATACGAACGTTTCGATTTGCCTGCAAGTGTAGAACACGATGCTTATCTTTAGGACATGCAGTTATGCCTCACCATGTTCAGCGTGTAATAAAGTGTGATCATGA